ATGTATACCTGATAATTCGTGTTTTCACCGTGTCATGCAGCTGACGCTGGAAGCCCCCCTGTCTGGTGCAAGGAGCCGCATGACGCCTTTGCGGGCGCAAGCACTTCTCGAGCCGCAGAGGACAGCTCCTCCTCGGACTTTGTAGAGTCGCCCGAGGAGTCTTCGCCGGAGGTCCCCACACGACTTCATGTCAGGCAGCGCCCTTGTCGGCGGCTGCTCTAGAAGAGATATAGGATTTACTGGCAGAAGGTAAAAAGTGCCTCAAGCAAAACAAAGCAGGAACAAGCTAAACCTCCAGGCACACAGCGCACAGCGAGAAGCTGCACAAACACACACAAAACACAAGCCCGAAAAGAACCAGCACTGCTGGCAACCGTCAGCAGACCCGGCACCGCCAGCCCAAGCGCCGGGCGGCGAAGCCTCCGGCGCGCAGACACTGGCAAGCAGCCTAAGGGTCAAGCAATCAAGCAACAAGCAGCAGGAGCATGCAGGAGGAATAAAATCCCTTAGACGCGATACCCGGAGGCAGCCGACTGACCACTGTCAGTCGAGACTTCCGCAGCCGCCACAAAGCTGGTGGCCGCGGACGGAGAAAGGGCAGCCGCCGACAAGGAGCCGGCGTTGCCCGGGGGTCCGCCTGGGGCAGCGGACGGAGGGAGGCTGCCGCCGCCGCAAAGCCTCCGCTGGCGGTCGCGGACGGAGAAAGTGGTCAGTCGGATGCCTATCAGCGCACGGGTAGTGTTGGTCTCGGGCAGGCTACCGCTACCGCTGACTCGCCGGAGGCTAGTGAGGACTGGATGCGTCACCTCGAGCGGTACCGTGCTCCTGTGCCCAGCCTCCCTCTATCCGCTGCCCCCGGCGGCCGACCCCCGGGCTTTCTCCGTCCGCGGCCGCCAGCCGCTTGCGGCGGCGGTGGACTACCGAAGTTTTAACTCGCAGAAGGTAAAAAGTGCCTCAAGCAGAACAAAGCAGGAACAAGCGAAACCTGCATGCACACAGCGCACAGCGAGAAGCTGCACAACAAAGCAAGACCAAAAGTAACCAGCAACTGTCCTCAGACCCGGCACCGCCAGCCTACGCGCGAAGCCGCGCAGACAAGCAGGGAACGGATTTACTGGCTTAATTTTGGATTTACTGGCAGAAGGTAAAAAGTGCCTCAAGCAAAACAAAGCAGGGAGGGCCAAACAACAGTCGCTAGCCTGAGGTTTGGCTCGACTGATCCGGGACAGTGGTTAGTCGGATGCCTCCGGGTATCGCGTCTAAGGGGGTTTCATCTCGGACGTCCCCTCGTATCGACTGTTGCTTGACCCTTCCTGCTTGTCTGCGCGGCTTCGCGCGTGGGCTGGCGGTGCCGGGTCTGCTGTGGGGTTACCTTCTGCCAGTAAATCCGTCTGACTACTGGTTACTTTTGGTCTTGTTTTGTTGTGCCAGTGTGTTTGTGCAGCTTCTCGCTGTGCGCTGTGTGCATGCAGGTCTCGCTTGTTCCTGCTTTGGCGAGTCTGCTTGAGGCGTTGCCAGCAGTGCTGGATCTTTTCGGGCTTGTGTTTTGTGGTGTCACAGTGCTTGACCCGCAAGGGCGTCAGCCTCATGCGCGGGGACTCAGTCGCGGAACTCAGTCGCCGCCGGTGACCAGACCGTGGCACATTCTGTAGGTTTTTGACCAGGAAAAACAAAGGAAAAGTGGCTTTTCTCAGTTCTCTGGGTCTTAGTACCGGTTGATAGGTAATGACCCGTCATTATCACTGGATTTGGGGGGGGTAGAGGTGGTAGATTGGTTTCAGAGCGGTCGTTGAATTTGTTTTTAATGCTTGTATTTTTGTTCAAATAAAAGGTACAGTTTTTTTGTACCATAGTTAGGCATATTTGTACCATACTTCGTATTATTTTATTTTAAATGTATATATATGTACAAAGTTTATACATATTTGTACTGTAAACAATTGATACAGTACCTTGTTTGACTATGCACCGGTCCTGTTGTGAGGTTATGGCCACCGGGGTAGGTGGGGAACAAACCCTACCCCCTAGTCGTGTATCAAACCACCGGTACGTGGACACTTATTTGAAAAAGCTGGGGATTTGAATTTGCGCGGGCTGGGATCGTCCACGCACTAGTACAGATTCTGGAAGAAAACTTGTGTTCTGATTTGAAACTTTGAGATAGAGGTTGAACATGCATAGCAAGATTATTCCTCATCAAGACCCCTCCAAGAAGATACCAATCTCTCCGACAGTGCGACCAGTGGCAAGGAAGCAAAGAAAATGTGCGAAACAACAAGTCAAACGAGTTTTGAAGCGCAACAAGGCATCAGATTGGGGTGATGATGGTAGAGAGTCGGATTCTTAATATCCCTTGTTCTCAGCCTGAGCTCTCAAGCTCTGAGCCTGAGCACCGCCGCCGCCGCCGTCACTGCCGCGCCGGCCGCCTGGCAAGCATCTCAGCCTGACTCGAGTGAGCACCCAAGCTCTCAGCCTGACTCGAGTGAGCACCCAAGCTCTCAGCCTGACTCGAGTGAGCTCCCAAGCTCTCAGCCTGACTCGAGTGAGCTCCCAAGCTCTCAGCCTGAGCTCTCAACTGCTCAACCTCAACCTGAATTGTCTCATGATGATGCCGAACGAGCGAAGAGGGTGCTCATACAAGGAAATGCTTTGCGCTGCATAGAACAACATGCTGCAGTGAGAAATTTCGTTTACACTAAGGATTCGAAGTGTCCTGGGCAGCCGCACATTGGCAAATTTTTGAATAGCGTGGGCGAAAATCTGACCGATTGGCCAATCGCGCCTCCCTGCAAGACGTTTGATCAGTTTTGGCAAGACATTCAATCGAAAATTTCAAAGCCTCACCACGAGAACCCCATCAATTTTGACTATGTCGAAGACCCGGAGGCGCAAGAAGCGTTGGAAATTGCATATAATGAATACATGGTCCCAGTTTTGTTGAAGGTGTTGCAGATGGTAGCGATCATTCATGGAGTGAAAGATCTACCGCATGAAGAGCTATGGAAACGTCTTGGAAATTGCTTGCGGCCACGAGAAGAGTCAAATGTGTCGCCAAGGATGAACCCTTTGTTGATTGACAAAGTTATCCTTGGCCTAATGCAGAATGAGAACGTCAAGAAGTGCATTGAAACAAAAATCCCTACCGACGAAAAATTTGAAAAGAAATTGAAATATGTTGCCCGAGCATACGCGCCGAATGTCAATGAAGCATGTACTGGAGTGCATGCATCCAGAATGCCTATGAGGTCCTACATCGCGTATCATTCACACGTGAAAAGATTGAAGAGGGTTGCAGTTTCTGCGAAGCTAATCTGTAAGACGAGGGTCATGAAGAAAATCTGGCTGAAGAAAAACTTGAAGATGTTTTCCACTCGAGACCATGGCCATGGACTCGCGGCAGGAGCGCCTCCAGCGTCCGCTGCATGGTGAGGCGCTGATAGGTGGCGGCGCGTTTGCGAGCCAAGATCTCAGCAGCAGGTCCATCATCAGGAACGAAGTGCCGACCAAACGCCGCATCGGAGGCTCCGAATCGGAGGCAAGAGGCATCGGAGGCAAGAGGCATCGAGTGCTGAGCGATGATGTCCGCCACATACCAGATGAAGTAAATCTGCCAGTAAATCCGTCCTATCCAGATGAAGCGAAGGCTGTCAGGATGCAGAGTACCGTCCGTCGTTGCTTGTTACCCCTCCTACGAGCTCGCCCGGCCTGCCCGGCGCTCCTCCCCGGCATCGGTCGGGTCACGCCGGTCCTTGGGCATTGCTGCGGCAGTGCCGGGCGTCGCCGCCGTCACGGGCGGTGTTGGTTTCGGCTACCGCCGCGGTGACTCGGAGGCTAGCGAGGAGGACTACCTCGAGCGGTACCGTGCTCCTGTGTCCAGCCTCCCCGGCTCCGTTCGCTGCCCCAGGCGGACCCCCGGGCAACGCCGGCTCCTTGTCGGCGGCTGCCCTTTCTCCGTCCGCGGCCGCCAGCTTTCACATGATACGGTGGCGGCAGCGGACGTCTCGACTCTGCCAGTAACTTAAATCCACTCACTGGCACGCTGACTGGTGGTCAGTCGGCTGCCTCCGGGTATTGCGTCTAAGGGATTTTATTCCTCCTGCATGCTCCTGCTGCTTGTTGCTTGATTGCTTGACCCTTAGGCTGCTTGATATAGGATTTAAAGCTTGTCTCAGGCCGCGGCTTCGCGCTTGGACTGGCGGTAGCAGTCCTGGTTCTGTTTTGTGTGTGATTGTGCAGCTTCTCGCTGTGCGCTGTGTGCAAGCAGGTTTAGCTTGTTCCTGCTTGAGGCACTTTTTACCTTCTGAGGTTTAGCTTGTTCCTGCTTTGTTCTGCTTGAGGCACTTTTTACCCTCTGCCAGTAAATCCACGATTCTGCCAGTAAATTCCTGTTCCTGCTTTGTTTTGCTTGAGGCACTTTTTACCTTCTGCCAGTACGAGGAGGACTACCTCGGAGCGGTTAAGGATTTACTGGCTGGGCGGTACCGTGCTTCTGTGTCCAGCCTCCCTCCGTCCGCTGCCCCCGGCGGCCGACCCCCGGGCAGCGCGGCGCCGGCTCCTTGTCGGCGCCAGCTTTGCGGCGGCGGTGGAAGTACCGAAGTTTCACTCGCAGAAGGTAAAAAGTGCCTCAAGCAGAACAAAGCAGGAACAAGCGAAACCTGCATGCACACAGCGCACAGCGACGAGAAGCTGCACAAACACACACTACAAAACAAGACCAAAAGTGTTGGTCTCGGCTACCGCTGACTCGGAGGCTAGCGAGGAGGACTACCTCGAGCGGTACCGTGTTCCCGTGTCGGCGGATGCCCTTACCGTTAGGTCGCAGGTGGCGGCAGCGGACGTCTCGACTGACAGTGGTCAGTCGGCTGCCTCCGGGTATCGCGTCTAAGGGATTTTATTCCTCCTGCATGCTCCTGCTGCTTGTTGCTTCTGCCAGTAAATCCACTACCTCTTGTTGCTTGATTGCCTGACCCTTCGGCTGCTTGACTCCCGTCTGCGCGGCTTCGCGCTTGGGCTGGCGGTGCCGCATCTGGGTGCCAGCAGTGCTGGTTCTTTTCGGGCTTGTGTTTTGTGTGTGTTTGTGCAGCTTCTCGCTGTGCGCTGTGTGCCTGGAGGTTTAGCTTGTTCCTGTTTTGTTTTGCTTGAGGCACTTTTTACCTTCTGCCAGTAAATCGGACTTTCTCCATCCGCGGCCGCCCGCTTTGTGGCGGCTGCGGAAGTCTCGACTGACAGTGGTCAGTCGGCTGCCTCC